AACACTGCCCCAGACATAAGAACATAAGAGAAGCCATGTTTGGATCAGGCCAATGGCCCATCCAGTCCAACACTCTGTGTCACATAGTGGCCAAAACCCAGGTGCCATCAGGAGGTCCACCAGCAGGGCCATGAGAACATAAGAGAAGCCATGTTTGGATCAGGCCAATGGCCCCTCCAGTCCAACACTCTGTGTCACACAGTGGACCAAACCCAGATGCCTTCAGGAGGTCCACTAGCGGGGTCAGAACTCCAGAAGCCCTCCCACTGATGTCCCCCCCCCCAAGCACCAAGAAGACAGAGCATCACTGTCCCAGACATAAGAATGTAAAAGAAGCCATGTTGGATCAGGGCAGTCATCTTTGAAGTCAACTTTCCCTGTTCATCCTTCCCACACCTTTCCCTTTCAAGACTAACGTTCTGCAGCGGCTGGTGGCAGGAGCCCTCTCTGTCTTTCATGTGCCGTACAGCAACAAGTCCACTATGCCGCTGCTCCACGGAATCCCAGTGAGCAATGGCTGCGGGAAGGAGAAGACCGCCCCCAACGCTCAGCAGGGGCAATTACCGTCCACGTTTCCTTATCGTAGCTGCCTTCCACCACCACCTCTGGCCGGCCGCCCACTCCCGTCATCCGCCGGAAGAGCCCGTAGGAATTAGCCACCTGGTAGCGATCGACGGCACTGAACATCTGGTGGATGCTCGGCCACAGCTTCCCGTTGGACTCGTACTCGATGTAGGTGAAGGGGACCTGGAGGGGAGGGGAGGGGAGGGAAGAGAAGAGAGAGAAGAGATTGGATTTATACCCCGCCCTTCTCTACCCAAAGGCATCTCAGAGCGGCTCACAGTATCCTTTCCCTCCCCCTCACCACAACAGACACCCTGAGAGGAAGGTGGGGCTGAGAGAGCTCTTTCGAGGACTGCCCGTGAGACAACAACACTGAGAGAACGTGTGACTGACCCAAGGTCACAGCAGCGGCTGTAGATGGAGGAGTGGGGAATCAAACCCGGTCCTCCCAGATTAGAGCCCGCGCTCCTAACCACTACACCAAGTTGGAGGGAGGGAGAGCCCTTTATAGGACAGGACTCAAGTCCTGAAGAGTAGCAACAGGGGGGAGAGAGAGAGAGAGAGAGAGAGAGATTTCGCTCCAAGCCCTGATTGTACGGATGGAGGGCCTCCCCAGCATTTACTAAATTTATACCCTGCCTCTCTGCCCTTATAAGGGCCACCAAGGCAGCTAACAATTTAAAACACACACTAGAAAATAATATTTTAAAACCATTACCATCACCACCCCCACAACTCACATACTTAAAATGATTAACATAAAACAGAGTTAGAATGCAGACAGCACATAATTCAATCCCACCACCTTAAGACACTGCCCCAGAGTCTCCAGTTGGCCAACCGGAAATTCAGTACTGGCAACGAGGTGCATCAACCATCTGCCTTGGTGTACAGCAGCTCCATGTATCACAGAAATACATAAATTTGCCATCTACTGAATCAAAACATCAGTCCATCGAGGTCAGTATTGTCTACTCAGACTGGCAGCAGCTCTCCAGGGTCCCTGGCGGAGGTCTTTCCCATCACCTCCCGCCTGGTCCTTTTAACTGGAGATGCTGCCAGGGATTGAACCTGGGACCTTCTGCATGCCAAGCAGAGGCTCTGCCTCTGAGCCACGGCCCCTCTTTACAGCTCTCCAGGGTCTCAGGCGGAGGTCTTTCCCATCACCTCCCGCCTGGTCCTTTTAACTGGAGATGCTGCCAGGGATTGAACCTGGGACCTTCTGCATGCCAAGCAGAGGCTCTGCCTCTGAGCCACGGCCCCTCTTTACAGCTCTCCAGGGTCTCAGGCGGAGGTCTTTCCCATCACCTCCCGCCTGGTCCTTTTAACTGGAGATGCTGCCAGGGATTGAACCTGGGACCTTCTGCATGCCAAGCAGAGGCTCTGCCTCTGAGCCACGGCCCCTCTTTACAGCTCTCCAGGGTCTCAGGCGGAGGTCTTTCCCATCACCTCCCGCCTGGTCCTTTTAACTGGAGATGCTGGGGATTGAACCTTGGACCTTCTGCATGCCAAGCAGATGCTCTACCATGTAGTCACTGCCCCTCATTCCCCTGATGGAGTGTTCATTTAACCTGAGCACGCAATAGCTTGACAGTGAAACTCCTTGACCTTTCTAGGACAGGGCAGATCCAGAAGACAGAAGTCCCACCAGTCCGCAATTCCTCTCCAGTGGCATGTGGGAATGTTAGAACAGCCCTTGAGCAAGCTGGCCCAAGCAGCTCTTGTGGTCAAAGTCTTGGTCCATCAAGATCAGTATTGTCTACCTGAAGTGGCAGAAGCTCTCCAGGGTCTTGGCAAGAGGTCTTTTAGCTGATCCCTTTAACTGGAGATGCTGGGGATTGAACCTGGGACCTTCTGCGTGGCAAGCAGAGGCTCTGCCCCTGAGCCACGTTTTTCACAGTTAGAAGCAGCGAAACTGGCACTGGGTGCACAGTACAGCATCCCTACAAGTAAAAGACGGCCACGCACCCGTTCTAATAAGGGAGGCCAGGGGGCTTTTGGGAAACCGTGCCCTAACACACATCCATGTCCCACCCGTTGCCTGTTCCCTTGCTGAGAGAGAGAGAGAGAGAGAGAGAGAGAGACCCAGAGGAGTCTCAGAGCAGCTGACAGTCTCCTTTCTCTTCCCTTCCCCACAAGAAGCACCCTGTGAGGTAGGCGGGGCTGAGAAAGCTCTGCCAGAAACTGCTCTTCTTGCAAGAACAGCTCTTATCAGAACTATGGCTTGCCCGAGGGCATCCAGCCAGGTGTGAGTGGAGGAGTGGGGAATCAAACCCGGTTCTCCCAGATTAGAGTCCGCGCACTTAACCCACTACACCAGACTGGCTCTCTGTGCTCCCTGCTTCAGGTCCTGGAGTCAGCATTGGACGCGGAAGTCACTCACCAGGCTGATGGCAAACATCCCTAAGGCCGCGGTGGTGAAGACGGCCCACTGGAGAGTCCCCCAGAGTTTCCAGAGAAAGCCCCGGGCGCAGGCACACCTGGGGGGGGGGCAGGGGGAGAGAGAAAGAACAGAAAGGGGGTGTTAGTTAGTGGACCGAGACATCCACGAGTGGACTGGGGGATTCCTAGGGCTGTAGGCAGCTCCAACGAGAAGGGGAAGTCTCCCCCAAGGGCCAGGAGGAACGATTGAAATTCCTACAAGAGCACAAGGCATGCAGGGAGCGCAAAGGACCACCTGCGATGTTTCCTTTTGCCCCCCCCCCCCCATGGGCCAGTCTCTTACCTGTAAGCAGCCTGGAGGATCTCCCAAAGCAAGGAAAGGAGGGCGAGTCCCACCAGAGGGAGCGTCACCATCTTCAGCCACTGCATGAATTCGTGGTATGTGAAAGCTGGGAAGAGACGTCAGAGAGTCCGCTCAACAGACGTGGGGCAAAAGGGTAGTTTTTGGGTAGTCGTTCTCTCTCTCTCCTGTGATCATCTGGGTTTTAATGCTGTCTAAGAACAGTTCTAGTGGCTCAGTGGTTAAGATGCTGAGCTGCAGACCGGAAGGTCGGTAACTCGGCAGTTCGAGAGCCGAGTGTGCCACATGACGGAGTGAGCTCCCGTCTCTAGTTCCAGCTCCTGCCAGCCTAGCAGTTCGAAAGCAAGAAATTGCAAGTAGATAAATAGGTATTGCTTCGGTGGGAAGGGAACAGCGTTCCGTGCGCCTTGGTGTTTAGTCATGCCGGCCACATGACCACGGAAACGTCTTCGGACAGCGCTGGCTCTTCGGCTTGGAAAGGGAGATGAGCACCGCAACCCTAGAGTCGGACTCGACTGGCTTTCGAGCAAGGGAAACCTTTACCTTTACCTAAAAACAGTTCTACTAATTCTGTATTTTCTATTTTCTTTTAGAGCTAACTGCATCTTCATTACAAAAAACGGGATGAACGTGGTTTAGTTGGTTTATTTATCTACTTCATTTATAGTTTACCTTTTCTCCTTCGTGGGGACCCCAAAGCGGCTTTCCTCTCTTCACTTTTATCCACACAACCACCCTGTGAGGCAGGGTTAGGCTGAGAGCATGTGACTGGCCCAAGGACACCTAGCAAGCTTCCACGGCAGAGTGGGCATTTGAACCTGCCTCTCCTGGATCCTAGTTGGGCACTCTGACCAGGACACGAGACTGGCTCTCGCATGAAGACCGATCTAACACTATAGGATGGTTTTTTCCAGAGTTTGTGATTTCACTGGCAGTCTTTAAGCAGCAGCTGGACAAAGACTTGTCAGGGAGGCTGTACACCATGGGTGTCAAACATGTGGCCCGGGGGTCGGATCAGGCCCCCCGGAGGGCATCTATCAGGCCCGCAGTGGAACTGGCTGTCTCCTGCTGCCTCTTCCAGTTCTGCTGCTGCTGCGTCATCGTAGGATTGCAGCTTACAGAGACACACCTGAACAGCAGACTCAAGATTGCAACAGCACAGATATTTTGATGCAGCAATTCAGAGCAAGAGGTATCAGTCATCAGACACTGTTAAATAATTAACATTTATTTATTTATATCCCACCCTCCTCGAAGGCTCAGGGCGGCTAACAACGAGGCACATGTGCCAGAAACAAATAAAACAGTCTAAAACAATACAATACAACAACAAAGTGTCAGTGCAAGATGAGGTAGATCTTGGTCGAATGGCACTGATCCCGCAACTTGTCATTCCCTCTCCTTCTAGGGTCACCTCGCACCCAGATGGACCCACATATTGGTGGTAGTGGTGTGATGCTGCATACCTATCGGTGGTGGAATTGTAGTGGCGGCGGCTCCTACTCGAAAGCCTGGTGGAAGAGCTCCGTCTTACAGACCCTGCGGAACTGAGAAAGGTCCCGCAGGGCCTGGAAGACGCAGAACATTAGCAAGAGTGCTAATGTTTGAAGCATGCTTTTATTTTAAGTACAAAAACCCCACCCTTTGTGTTTGTGTCCTTCATAAAGTTTCTCTCTCTGCTACCTGGCACTACATTTTATGACACGCATGGCCCAGCCCAACAAGGTCTCATTTAGGTCAGATCCAGCGCTCATAACAAATGAGTTTGACACCCCTGGCCTAGGTTGATCCTGCATTGAGCAGGGGGTGGGACTAGACGGCCTGTAGGGCCCCTTCCAGCTCTGTGATTTTAGGATCCTTCGCATGATCAATTGTATTTTTTAAGTCATGTGTGGGGAAAAAGCAAATCGTTTCTCCCTGCCAAATTCCAGGCAGCGCCAGCTGAAAATGAGAACCGGGCTTGTGATGGAACTTTAAACGCGAGGCAAACGCAGCAACTTTCTTGCCAGAGCCTGATGGCAGCTGCCCCCCTGGCACCTCTTGCGCCACCTTCTGCACACGGCCTACCGAGATCAGGATGGGGGGAGAGGAGAGACAGCTGCGTGACTTTGCGCATGGAGCGGGACGGCGAAACAGGCCGCTGCCGACCCCTTTCCTATCCACCGTTCGTTGAGAGCAGCAGCCCCCAACGTGCTGCCCCTGGGCGCCGTGGCATCCGCCGACACCCACCTGGTGCCCACTGAGGTTTTTTAGAAAGTGGGTAGAGCTGTGCACCGCTCTGGCCCAACAGGGTTTCTGACTGGCTCACAAAAAGAACACGGTTCCAGGGACAGGTGCCGCCACACCGTTAGTTCTATTCTCCGCCTTTCCTCTTTCCCAGTGTACTTTTTCAAATTATCCCTATTTCCCCCTGCCCTTGGCTTCCTCTGTGTGTCCGGCTCAGCCTTGTCGCCACTGCGGCCACTACCCTGTATCAGAAACACACCTGTCAGCTATGCTGCCATGAGTGTGGTGTATGTTTCTAATTGCTGTGCATTCTTTCCCATGCACTTAATTGCTTCTTAGCTGTAACGCATATCTCTCAAGGCCACTGGAGGAGTTGGGGTGTCTAGGTTTCGTGGGAAGCTTCTTACATTCCCAGCTTCTGCAGCCATTAGAAATCTGCCAAATGCCCACGTGAGGGAGCCCATCTAATTGGGTACTACATGGGTTTGTGTGTGTCTGCATACGAAAGCCCTATATCCTATTATGCGCATAGGTAACCCGCCATTCCTAACAGTGTTCATGTTACTGCATCTATAGCTTTTCCTAGAAGCGTGTACTTCGTTGTCTTGCTGTGGATCCTGACATTCTGTCAGGAATGGAGGGTTACCTATGCGCATAATAGGATATAGGGCTTTCATATGCACCCCCCCACCATGTAGTACCCAATTAGATGGGCTCCCGCAAAGAATCTAGCAAAGATTTAAGATCTTTGCAATCATTTTGATAAGTGAACCTAAAGGTTGGCCCGTTATCTTGTGGACTGATTTGTTATAATTTAGGAAGTTCCTGCCCTTACTTTCTCTAATCTGGGAGAACCGGGTTCGATTCCCCACTCCTCCACTCGCAGCTGCCGGGTGACCTTGGGCAAGCCGTAGCTCTAATAAGAGCTGTCCTTGAAAAAAGAGCAGTTTCCGTCAGAGCTCTCTCAGCCCCGCCTACCTCGCAGGGTGTCTGTTGTGGGGAGGGGGAAGGGAAAGGAGTCTGTAAGCCGCTCTGAGACTCCAAGTGAAGGGCGGAGTATGAATCTAATCTCTTCTTCTTCTACCTCACAGGGTGTCTGTTGTGGGGAGGGGAAGGGAAAGGAGATTGTAAGCCGCTCTGAGACTCCTTTGGGTAGTGAAGGGCGGGGTATAAATCCAATCTCTTCTTTTTCTTCTAATCTGAGAGAACCGGGTTTGATTCCCCACTCCTCCACTTGCACCTGGCTGTCCTTGAAAATAGCAGTTTCTGTCAGAGCTCTCTCAGCCCCGCCTAGCTCGCAGGGTGTCTGTTGTGGAAAGGGGGAGGGAAAGGAGTCTGTAAGCCGCTCTGAGACTCCTGCTCAGCCCCGCCTCCCTCGCGGGGTGTCTGTTGGGGGGAGGGGGAAGGGAAAGGAGTTTGTCAGCCGCTCTGAGACTCCGAGTGAAGGGCATGTGGTATAAATCCAATCTCCTCCTCCTCCTCCTGTTCTTTGACCTCCTGATCTCGGCGCCTTCCTTATCTTTCAAGAACAAGTGTAAAAGGTTTATTTTCTGACTTTCTTTAAATTTTTAGGCCGCCCTTCCCTGCAAGCAGGGCTCAGGACAGCTTACAAAAGAAAAGAACGTACAATAAATAACTAGACGTTAAAATCCCACAACAACATACACAGCGCATCTATCGGCACTAATGTGCTCCATTCCAATATGGTGAGGAAACTCCAGATTTCACAAGCCTCCTGGGGGGCTTGCGGAAAGTGGAGGGTATGAGATTGTTGGACAACATGCTGTACCATCGCTGCCCTCAACCGAAAGCCGGGCGGAACATCTCTGCCTTACGAGCCCTGCGGAAAGGTCACAAATCCTGCAGGGCTCAGATGTTCTCCGGCAGAGAGTTCCACCAGGCAGGGGTCAGGTTCGAAAAAGCCCCAGCCCTGGTTGAGGTCAGCTGGGTCTCTCTCAGGCTGGGCACCACCGGGAGGTTCTTACTTCTCGAGTGTAACGCTCGTCTGTTACGTTCCTCTTAGGAATGTGGAATGTACTCAAAAACAGAGGGTAAAGTGAATTATGCCTGAGAACAGAACATCTGAACCTTTCGTTTTTGCCAAATATCAGACCCTGACCTCTTGCCTGTTTTATCCTCTAAAGGAAGAACTTTGCATCTTGTTCACTGTGCTGGCGTGACCCGTGCTTGCTGTCACCAAAATGATCATTCTTAATCAAACTGCCTGCTTGGTGTAGTGGTGGAGAGACAGCCTGGTGTAGCGGAGGGGAAGGGAAAGGAGTTTGTAAGCTGCTCTGAGACACCTTTGGGTAGTGAAGGGCGGGGGATAAATCCACTCTCCTCCTCCTCCTCTTCTTCGTCTTCAGTTTGGTGTGGTGGTGAAGTGCGCGGACTCTAATCTGGGAGAACCGGGTTTGATTCCCCACTCCTCCACTTGCACCCGCCTGGATGACCTTGGGCAAGCCGTAGTTCTGATAAGAGCTGTTCTTGAAAAAGAGCAGTTTCTGTCAGAGCTCTCTCAGCCCCACCCACCTCACAGGGTGTCTTTTGTGGGGAGGGGAAGGGAAGGAGTTTGTAAGCTGCTCTGAGACACCTTTGGGTAGTGAGGGGCCATGGGGTATAAATCCAATCTCTCCTCTTCTCCTGCTTTGTTTGCAAAAAAGCCTTGACTGGATCTTTCCTCTCCCAGATTGAAGTCGAGGGGTGGGGGTTGTACTAGAGTTCTGAAAGCACCCCGAGAAAGACCCTTGTCCAGAGCACACCGAAAACATGGCACAAAGGCCGGACTTCTGTTATTTGGAGGAAAGCCGCCACTGGCCACAAGCCTCTTTAAGGTGCTCAGGGTCACGCCTGTGATGAAAAGAGAATGGGCCCCTCCTTCTTTTGGGCCAGAACTGCAGCAAACGTTATGCTGGGATTGCACCTTGCTCTGGAAGCCTTCAGGCAGCCCCCCTGTCTCCATCTCCCTTTGAAAAAGAAGAAGGAGAAAGAAGAGGAAAGAAGACAGAGGAAAGAAGAGGAAAGAGGGAGAGGGAGAAGAGGAGGAAGAAGAGAGAGAAGAGGGAGAAGAGGAGGAAGAAGAGAGAGAAGAGGGAGAAGAGGAGGGGGAGGAAAAGGAGGAGGAAGAGGAGGAGGAGGAGGGGGGGAGGAGGAGGTTGGATTTGTACCCCACCCTTCACTCGGAGCTGCTTACAATCTCCTTTCCCTTCCCCTCCCCACAACAGACACCCTTCCTGTGAGGGAGGTGGGGCTGAGAGAGCTCTGACAGAAACGGCTCTTTTTTCGAGAACAGCTCTTATCAGAACTACGGCTTGCCCAACGTCATCCAGCCAGGTGCAAGTGGAGGAGTGGGGAATCAAACCCGGCCCTCCCAGTTTAGAGTCCGTGCACTTAACCAATGCACCAGACTGGCTCTCTGGTGGCTCCTCCCACCTTGGACGTTACCTGTCTTAGATTCAAGGAGCTTCTTCTCCCAGTTGACCTTCAGCCCGAAGTGACAGGCGGTCCAGTAGAACAGTAAGCCGTAGGAGCCCAATTCAGCCAGTCCGATCAGGACGGTCAGCGGCCGGGGGGGCCAGGCTGCAGGGGAGAAATCGGGAGGTTACCGGAGGACGGGGAAAGCTCCTCGCACCGCCCTGTCCAAGTCTCCAAGTCAGCTCGCCTCAACCTGGCCGGTGGCTGTGCTTTGGGTTGGTTTGGTTATAATACTTTATTTTACCATTTAAATGGGATACAAAATAAAAACAGATAAAGGGAAAAGGTGAGAAGCATAAAACTTCATTTGTTAAACACATTTTAAGGACATTACATAAGAATATAAAACATGAAAAAGTATCGTAAGAACGTAAGAGAAGCCAATGTTGGATCAGGCCAATGGCCCATCTGGTCCAACACTCTGTGTCACACAATGGCCAGAAATACCAGGTGCCCTCAGAAGGTCCAGCAGTGGGGCCAGGACACTAGAAGCCCTCCCACTGTTGCCTCCACCCCCCAAGCACCAAGAATGCAGAGCATCCCTTGCCCCAGACATAAGAACATAAGAGAAGCCCGTGTTGGATCAGGCCAATGGCCCATCCGGTCCAACACTCTGTGTCACACAGT